ACATTTTGTTACTACAAGATATTTCGTCTATCTTTGTGCATTCGTTGTTTAGTCGTATTTTTTAAGTTAGTTTTGAATGTTGGATTTGTATTTGCGATTGCATTCAAAAAAGAAAGTCAGATAAATTTTGAAATAATATTACCTTGTAGCTTGTTTCGTCATTCAGCATAAAATTGTTTTTGCAAAAAGGTTTACATTCAGGGAGGAATCACTTAAGATGCTTTTAAGAGTTATAATTTTTGATATGCTTTAACTTATTTCATTTGTTAGTCCTCTCTTTCGCATTTGTCGAGCTTGATTTCTTTTCTGGCATTTTATTACTGCTTTTCCTTGCTGAGTCGGCTTGGCTAGTTCCAGCAGTTTTATTTTTTTATATTATTATGAACTCTGTGTACATTTTTAATTGTTGTATTTAAAAGAAGTACGAAACTATTTTATAATCAGTTTGCGTAGCATCTGATTCTGATGTGGCGCACATTGCCACAATAAATAAAGTTTTTGCTTGTTGGCTACAAGTGTTGTTATTTGGTTGGGTTTGTTGAAAGAGAACTGGCATTTTTTGAGGGTATTAAAAAGTGGACAATGAACTTCTGTAACTACTTGTAGAGTCTACTTATGATGGAACTGGAATGGACATCACTTTTCTTTCTAGCCAGTTATGATGCTAACGGGTTTTTGGATTAATGTTGTGTGGGGTGTTGTTACTTTTTGTGAAGTTGATTTAGTGTTTAGAGGACGAGAAGCAGACTGTAATTGTTTCTGGCCAAAGGGGGTTGTAGACAATTGGGATGGTCGTCCTCCTGTATATTGCTGTTTGCACTGCGTTGGAATGATAAGAAATGTTTTTGATTTAATATTTGGTGATCTATCCCGAATTTAGGTTATTTCTTCCAGTGTAGTCTCTGTTGCCAGTCTAAATTTGGGACGACTGAAATAATAGACTTTATGAAGTATGTTCATTCAATTTATTGCATTCTTTTTGTGTCAGAATTGATTCATTATTGTTCCTAATAAAGCGACTATTACGTTCTTCAACAAAGTTATCTGTTTCAGTAACTAGTTTTTCGGGTCATTGACAGTTTTATGAAAATTTAGCATAAAAATCAACAGAATATTCCATTTAAAGACGGTGCTGTAGTATTTACTGAGAATCGAATATTAAAACATTTGAAGAGTGGTTGATCTCTGGTGCTTAGGAGTGGAAGGTGAGTTGCAAATAAATGATCTAATCAGTCACATTTCTGTCTAGACTGTGCATAGAATTGAGATGTGAATTTTCCTGAAATCTTAACTGGTTATTGCACCACAAATGGTATTAAGAAGAAAAAAGAATTTGCCGACAAAAATGCTGTTAACATAACTTATTACATCTTGTTTGTAGAAATGTAATTTTTTTGAGTTATTTTGAGAATGTTTTTTGAACTAGCGGAATAACTGGAAATTTTGACTTATTTACATTAAGGATAGTTTCCAACCTAATCTGCTTTTAAGACTTGGTGATAAAAAGCTTTGAGCACGATGATATGGTGAAATGATTGAGTCATTAAATTTGGATAACCAGAAGAGAGGACCAGCGGTACACAGAAATATTTTAGTTTTTTACTTTTCTTGCAAATTTTTTCCTATCGTCAATTATTTGTGAACTATAGTTAGATATTTGGATAACACGATCTCAAACAAAAACGAATTTTTTATGACTCTCTAAAGGATTCAGAGCTGCTGATATTACAAACTCTATCGGCGTAGAAAATCCATTTGTGACGGTTAAAAAGACGTGAGGATAAGGCAGTGGTGCGTGGTTGACGGTGTATTCAAAAGATGCTTTTTTATAAGGCAACGTTGTTGAAGCTGTAGGCATAAATGATCCTTAATCTAACATTTTTTTTTCGAACACTAAGAATTATTTTGTTGATTGCTGTTGGCAGGTAAATCTTTAAAGAACTGCCACAACTTTTCACTCGGTTGATTGTAATTATTTGATTATGTAATGGTAACGTTTTTGGATACGCTTTTGACAGTAAAATTCTTCACTGTTTTGAAGCATTTCAGAAGAGTAATGGACGACAGATCTTCCTTAATTACATGTTGAAAATATTTGGTTTATTGTTTCAGTTCCTGCTCATATTATCGGTTGTTAAATTGATTTTAAGTTTGAATATTACAAGACATATTTGTTACATTTTTTGAAAGCTATATTTATTTGTCCAGTTAATGATAAAGGCAATTTAGGGTAATGAGGAGTCAATTTTGCTGTTTCTTTGCTATACTAATCTAATTCACATAAATTTTTTCAACTACCTTTTCTTTCACAAAAATTTCTTGACCTAAGAGCTTTGTCAGACTCTTTATTCTTACAAGGTCGATTGACGGTGCCAGAGCACAGGTACGATAATACTTTGCATCAAAGAACGAGTTCTTTTTTTTGTGAGTTTAAAATGCTAAGAATGACTTTATTAGTCAGAGTAAGCGTCGGTGTTTTCTGCAGTGGTCATTATATCCATCAATGCAATTGAAATGGTTATTCTGTTTGCTTCAAGCAGGTCTTTGTCCGCACAAAGACTTCTATTTAATCGAGGTTAGGTAATTGACGATTTGAGGTAACAAGAGAATCAAAAATCTGTAGCTTCATACACAGTAAGGAATGCGATACAGAGTCCAGTTTTTTGATGCTACGGGTCTTTGGTTGGACAAATATTTTTGATTCTTCAGCTATTAAACATGATCTAGGTGTCGTTGCCTAGATTGGTGTTCAAATGAAAGATTTTTTGTAAATAAATATCGTTCAGCTCTATTGTATTATTGTCGCGAATACTTAGGTAATCATCTGTCGACAGATAAAAACCCCTCTTTATTCCACTACAATTACGGCTCAAAAGTTGATTGTCAAAAAGCGAGGGGTTGGAACTGAAGTGTTTCCAAAGATTTTGGCAGTAAGAATGGATAAACTGTATTGAATAAGCGTTGTTTAAGCGATAACAGAAATGTGAATTAGGTGAAAAAGTCAAAAACTGTACAAAAGTCAAAACTTTTTTTTTGTACAAAATATATCCTCTGATACATAAATAGCTTTTTTTTTTAAAAAAAAATTTAGGCACACCTAATACCGTTTGTATAAAAAAGCATCAACAGAATCATTGTATCCGATCAGTTTCTCTCACAAAAATATTTCAATTAAAAAAATAAAAAATTCTTTTTTCTTCTCCAAAATATTTTGTTTTTCGTTTTTTTTTTCCGTTTTTTCCCCTCTTTTTTTTTATTTCAATTAAAAAAGATTAATTAAAAAAATTTGATCAATTTTGATAGCGCTGAGAGCGGTTAATTTATATTGCTGAATGAGAAATTGACTGCCATTTTGCAATTTTACTACTGTTGCTGAAAAGAAAAAAAAAAAAAAAA